TCGGGCTTTACATCTTTTTAAACCTGCTTCCGGAAGTCTTCTTCTAGCTGTTCGAATACTAAATTCATCCGAAAGGACAACTGTAAGGGCAAAGGAATATTTTTTTCGATCCTTGAGAGACTCGCGTATAAGTATTCGGTCTTCTCTTTTACTGGTTAGACACTTTCTTCCACTTTTTGATTTATTATTGTTAGATTTCGTGTCCACAAATCGCCTGATAGCACATTGGACCGCGCACCGCAAACATCCCACCAAATTGGCAATCTCACCCTGAGACTTACCTTCCTTACTTAGAACTTGAATTCTAACTTTTTATCATCGTAACTAATTTCACTTTTCTTAGGCATTTCGGTAAATGCGAACTGGTTTTATAAGATGGTAACTTTTCACTAAATGTAATTTACACTTTCACTTTCAAATTTTAAATCCGAAAATATGTTATGAATTTCTTAAAAATGACAATTTTTATGTTTAACTTACCCAGAGTGCTATGACCTTTAATATTACACAATTTATTTGTTTAGTCAACAGTTAAACACCAGGCATTTACAAAAAAAGTAGTAACTTTGATAGCCACATTTAAGAATATTTGTGTTTTAGTGGGGTGCCTAATACTTTTGGCTAAGGCTGTATATACAGATTTTCGCAGACTATTGAAGTTTCATTTTGCAGATGATTTTTTCATTTAAAAGCAGAATAAGCCAGCATTTCGAGGCCTATTAAACTGCTATACATTTTGGACCTAATCTATATACATATATACATATGCCGCACTTATCTAGAAATAAAAAGTGAATAATTTCAAAAAATATTAATAAAAAATTAGAAAATTTTGTTCACAACTCTCTAACAACCGTAAGGTATGTAGCTATTTATGAAACACAAAAATTTTAAGCTTTAAACTGTCTCTTGAGAAAGTTGCAGAGATATGTGCCGAAAGTCTAAACCGCTGCGTACATGAATTTGTATTCAAAAATCCCATTGACATAATTTTGCTTAAAGCGATCTGAGTCTTCATTTTGTTTTGTCTCTCCAAAATATTACAGGGTAAAAATTGTCTGGCTAAATGCCAGTTAAATCCCAACGTTTAAATTTTATGAAAAATGCAACTGTAGTGTCATTTCAGCAGAGCTAAGTGACGTTTTGGGCACACAATCAAGGAAAAGTGACGATAGCCTCAGGGGACATTCGTGCTATGTTGACGTTCACGTGAAACGGCCAATTGCACTATATGGTTAGGTTTGTGTGCTAAGGTGGAAAGGCCTTTTCAGCCATGTCTGCTCTGTACATGTAGATGTATGTCGACACTAGCACATACTTATGTATGCATACTTATGTATGTGCTAGTGTGCTAGGGTGTATCGTATAGTGTAAAAATTCCAAATATTTTGACTTTAATGTAAAGCATACCGATATTTTTTTTTTGTTTTTAACTAAGCGATTTAAAAATGTTCGTGATTAGTAGAATCAGTGTAGATAGATAGATAGACTAGTCCGTCGTTCGTGAGGTTTGGGTCTTTGTTTTAATTTTTGTTGTATGAAAAATTAAAAATTATTATCGGGCTTTGAGAATTTAGTATTATTAATTTTATTTAAAACAAAACAAGATGTTTAGGTTTGAATTTACGTTTCAGTTATTTACAATACGTCAACTAAAATAACTCTAAAATTAAAAACTCTCGAATTTGAGTTAAACTGACTCCGTAAAAAGGTTTTAGAGGCAAATCTTTAATTCTCTTCTTTGCAATGCTATCTGAAAATCAGTTTCTAAAAGCGTGCGTGGCTTAGTTCAACAGATGGCGCTTGCCGTAACGCCATAGCCTTAGTATTCAAAGAAATTGAAATAAAAAAAATGTTTTTGGGAATAAGACAAGATATTTCAAACACTTTAAAATGTAGGCGAATTTCCACTATATTATTGTATATGATCTTTAATAAGTAAAAGAAAATTAAATCGTTGCAGAGTTACCCAGGACAAATTCAAATTTTATATTTTCAAACAGTTCAAGGCGTGCTTGAGGGCAACATGGAACAAAGTGAAAAATTTTACTTGCGGCTGATCCATTCGCATAAATCATATCTATAGTACGACATTTCTTCTTAAAGAAAGTGGGCCTGGAGCAGTGGAACAGATCTTATTATGCGATTAGCTTGAACATTGGAACTATCAGGTGTACAACTTTGCTTCCGCCGTTTTTTCCAAAATTAAAAGCTTTATTGTGAAAAAGTGCTTATAGATATATTATTCAAAGTATTGTCCTTCGCTAGCGAACACTTTCTCCTATCTTTCCGGTAATTTTCGGATCCCGGCTCGAAAAAAGGAGTCCTCTTTTGACGCTAACCATGAAGCAATCCATTTCTCCAATTCTCCGAAGGATTGAGAATGTTGATCTGCCAGGCCGTGTGCCATCGAACGGAATAGGTGGAAGTTAGAAGGGGCGGCATCTGGGGAATACGGCAGGGGGGGGTAAGAATTCCCATTTCAGCGTTTCCAGGTACTTTTTGACCACTTTTGCGACGTGAGGCCGAGCATTGTCGTGTTGGAGGATGACTTTGTTATTTCGCTCTTAATATTGTGGCCGCTTTTCTTTTAGCGCGCGACTAAGGTGCATCAGTTGCGATCGGTAGCGATCTCCAGTGATCGTTTCACCCGGTATTAAAAGCTCATAGTAAATCACACCGAGCTGATCTCACCAAATACAAATCATAACCTTGTTTGTCTTCGACATCGAAATCACCATTTTTAAAACGTTGAAACCACTCCCGACACATTCTTTCACTCAGAGCAGCATCACCGTAAGCCTCTGAGAGCATTCGATGCGCTTCAGCTGCATTTTTTTCGAATTGTAAGAGAAGCAAATGGCGAGAATTAGGCACATAAACGGACATTTTCGAGCGTGAATAATACGAAAACAAGAACAACTGTCACTGAAACGGCGATGACAATTCGTTAGGCACTGTCCGCACTCATTTTAAAGGCATTATCATCTATGTATTTCAACCAGCCTCAGCCGGTACAGCCACCTATCGGAAAACGGCGGAAACAAAGTTGTACACCTGATACCTAAACGTTTTTTAAGCCGCCTGCGTAATTAATTTTTTTATCTCCTATAATTTTGGATATTGGTTACTGGATTTTATAAAACGAGATATTCGAAAGAAAATTTTGTATAATAACAAATGGCATGCAGGTTCCTCAAAAACTTCCATCATTAAGACGCACACCATAATTTGGAGGAGGGAGCTAGGTGTAACAAAGTGCCAACTATAAATATATGTATACTATATATATATATATATATATACGTGGGTACGTGGGTAAGCATTAGAGAGATTTTTGCCAATGTGCGTTGTACTAAATCCCTGCCTAATCATTTGGGTTAATAAGCTCTTAACCAATTTGCACCAAGAATAGTGGCGAATGATGTGCATAAATATGCAATGTGGTATATACTCGTACATACGCATGAACCTGTATGTATTCAGATAAATGTCAGCAGTATCTCGTGGGTTCTCGCATAACAGTAATGTATCTATGCATGTATGTTCATACGTTTCATTCGTAATTACACATTTGCATTATTCGTATGTACTTATATATTTATATGCAAGGGACATAATGCAGAATAATGTACATAAAACAGAGATGGTTAATGTGGAACCGACTGAAAGTGGACGTAAGTCAAAAAATTTTGTTGTGCGCTCATTTTTCATATTCTCCAAAAAATGTTTGATAATAAGCTAAGCCCCCAAATACTTTGTTTGTTTGAAAAATCAATAAGGATATTATATTTTTCAAAATATTTCTAAATTAAAAACTTTTTTCATTTTCCGAGTTCTTAGTGCTGGTGCAGAAAGTTTCTGAAAATATCTCTCGAATATTAAAAATTTTAATTATTTAATTCGATTTATTTATTATTCGCAGAGTGTTTCATATAAAATCATAATAATTTTTATGATGGACCAGTTTTTTAATATTCAATAATTTTTATTCATAAACAGCAAAATGCATGGGAGATTTCGCTAAGAAAAACTGAAATTTCTAAATTCTAAACCAATTTAAAACAGTTGAAGAATTTCCTGAAAAAAAACCCACTGATAACAACTTTTCATTCGTAACGAACAGTTTCTTCCACAAGAAGCATTTTTTTCAGAAATCAATTCTTTCACTAATCCCAGCTTTTCTCAGATAATCGTAATCGCGGAAGGGGTAAGTGCTTCTTTTTGAAAGTTCTTTAGGACATCATCTACAGTCTCTATTTTGACGACCGATGTGCGCTACAATGACATCAAAAGTATGCTCTCTTTGAATCGTCTTCACCTGTAAATAAAAAAAAACTGTTTCTATAAAAACAATCGCAAAGAGATGTTAATTCCATGCGATTCTCAAACGGGTATGAGGTGTGGCCTGCCATAAAGGAATGTCATGACTTTTCTTTTGGCCAAATCGGGGCAGTATTTCAGGGGATTTTCAGATTTTCGTTCAATTTCGATATCGACAGCAACCACTCGAGAATCCAAAGTTTCTATGGACTATCCCATTATATGTACTGCCTTATCGTAAACAATCGACTTTTCATCACCAACTTTGCTTGTTTTTAAAAAAGATTGTTTTCGTTACGATTTCTTCCTTTTATTCGTGAAGCTGTTCTAAATATAAAAAATATTTTTGGCATTGTTCTAGAAAGAAAACTTCTACCTTCGGTCCGAAGTATGTAGGTACCAGAAGGAGAAGTGATAGACTCATCAAACTGTATACCAATAACGGAAGACTATGTCATATAGCGCCCATATAATCCATTTTTTCAGATATAAAAAATCTGTCTAGCATCTAGACTCTGAATATCATCGAAATCGAATTTTGCATTTTGCAATCAATTTGGCATGACCGAAGATAGCACTCCTTTATTGACTTATGTATAAATTTAAGCTTTTTATTCATTTTTCTCGTACATAACTCTTATATTAATTTTAACATGTAAATTTATTTTCTATTTCAGGGCCAATGCTCAGCTGGTACATTGCCTGTTGCATGGGTCGATGAAGGTCCTGGACCCCCAATTTGTCCAGATTCGTGCGAAAAACTAAAGCCAAATGTAGTTAATAATTTTAAAACAAAACCTAACACAGATAACAGTAATTTAATAAATAACTATAAAGTAAATATTAAGTCATCTATTAAAAACCATTATGAAAACCCAAAAATGTCCAAAACTCGCCGGGATTTGAACAATTTAAAAGGTAACAAAGGCAACCAAACATCCAACAAGGATCCAAGTTTTCTAGTCGCAGGTAAATCGGAACTATCAAGAAATCAATTGTTGAATAGATCACCAGATTTCACTGTGAAAACCGAGCAAACCAATCATACCTCGACTAAAGTTACCTCTGTTAGTGACAACCGACAAGAACAAGCCGAGACGATGATGCCACTTGAATATTCCAATTATAACGACTTCGGATCGAAATACGAGAGTAATAGTGATGACATATATAAAAATAAACAAAAGAAACAATTTTACGGCTATAGAGAGCAACAGCAACAACAACAACAACAACAACAACGGAAAGAACAACAGTGCCTTGATTACTTGGGCGATACGGAGGAGACGAGTCCGGCGCACTTGTGTACATTTAAATCGCCCAGCGAACTGGCGGTTCAATTGCGTTCACTGCGTCTGCGGCATTGCTGCGAGCGTAATGTCTTCAGCGCCCTCCACACAGTCGCCTTAAATGCTACCTTGAGCGGCGGCGTGCAATGCGTGCGTACCCTCATGGATGTTATGGACTTGGACCTGCTAGCCACACGCATCACATGTGAAGTGGCTGAAATACTTTTCCGCTTTGATTGCCGGCAGGTTTATTCCCTAATCCACCAGTGTGATGACTGTAAAGTAAGTTTTTCTAAAAGTTTTCTTCAAATTTCATCTATCTTTATTTCAGTGATCCTCACAGGGTTCAAATATTGTAACTTTCACGTTGCTCATAAATCAGCGTTTCAGAACATATGTTTATGGCCTCTTATTTTTATACCAAATCGTAGGCACGTTAGTATTCGTAATGAAAACTTCTATTAACAGCTATTGTTGCTTTGTTATAAATTCTTGGTATTCAATAAACGGTTATTATTTCAATGCTTTCAATCACTTTTACGTTCTTCAAAACAAGTGATCTGAATTGAAGTTCAATTAAAATTAAAAGCAGTTGCAGCATTCAGCACTATGGCTCTCTGGCTCTCTGGCACTCTAAGTTTAGAGTCCGCTCTAAGTGAAAAATTCTACTCCAACTCGACTATGATTCGGCTTGGCTTAACTCGTCAGTGAATATGCCAAAACACAAACAAACAATCAAAACCTTGCAGTCCTTACTGTTTGGCAGGATGAGAAAATCATCTGAACAATTTCATGTTCAATTTTCATGAAATGAGTGGCAAACCAATCTAACAATTTTAGCATACACCCTCAATGATCCAAAAAGATATGTAAAAAAAATAAACTGGTGTGTACATATATAATATCTGTATATATTCAATGCCAAGTACTAATAACGTAAATGAGCGAAAGGCAAAGCTGCTGTACCGCGGATAATTTAAAATCATTATTTTTCAATTCCTGCTCCAGCCAATGGCCAAAACTAAAAAACTTTTTTTTCTAATAGCAGCCAATTTTGGGAGGGAATGTAGTTTTGGATGTTGTGCGTTGTTTCCGTGAAGCTATATTCGAAAAAAGGGCCGATTTATGGGAAGACAATTTAATGTTTTTGCATCAATGTCTCGCACTGCATTGTTCCCCGGTGGGATTTTCGCCGAAAAATCAATTCTATTGTTCCTCGACCACCGTATTTGCCTGATTTGGACCCGTGAATCAACTGAGGAGAATCCACCAGATTGGCTGATCGTATCGAAGGTATTCCGTCCGATTGGTATAAAAAATATTCAAATGATTCGGAAAAATGTTGAAATAAGTGCCTTTCATAGGGGAGATTTCCTTTGAAAGCAAATCTCACGTTCAGTATATAAATATAAGAAATTCGGGAATAGAAACACTTTCGTTAAGAGGAAAAATACTAGCATATTTCTACATGAATTGTTAAAAAAAAAACTTATTGCTGAAAGAACTAAACTCACCTTACTTGTTTAAAATAACTTTTCATCTAAGCTAACAAATTATTGTTTTATAATATAATATTTTGAATAACGTACTTTTCATTTAAGGAGCAAGATTAAATTTGGATTTTTTTGTGTTCATTTAGAGAAAAATGTTTTATCTTTGGAAATATTTTAATTTTTAATTTGAAACTAAACTTGGGTAACGCGCCCTAGTATGCGGTGAACCATTGGTTCGAGCCTCGGCCAGTCCAACATATTAAGTCATAACGAAAGTTTAGCTAAATTCCTTTACCCCAAAAGCGAAGGGTGGCACGTCCGAAAGTACTGCTGTCATGAATTAAAACACTTCTCGTAAAAATCCATCACCCCAAATAGCAAATGGCTGAAATCAGCAGAGCCAGCCATGTGGGGCAATTCCTTAGTGTTGCAGATAATCTTTATATCGATAAATATTTCCCATATAATTTTACACAAGATGGTACTTTGAAAAAAGTGTAAGTTTTGTACCTACTTTCATGAACGTGGCTTTAACTGAAAGTCTTCAGTATAATATATATACAATATTATATAAACTTAAAGCTCTGGTGTTCTCATTAAACTATTATTATTTTGGACTCTTTGCCATAAACCATTTTATCAAGAAAATATAAATTAATTGCGCAGAAAGTTTTGCTGGACTAACGAAAAACACGTTACATGGAGCCTTGATTTGTGAATTCGTCTGTTAGCAGGAGATATTACATTTGTTTATTATAATTATATGTATATAAAAACGTATGCATTCATGACGTTTGCCTTACACTTTGATTAAAAGGATTACGCACATTTTCATTTGCATACACTTGCGCTATGTATGTTCCTAATTACTAAGTTATACATGTAATTATTACTTAAAAAATTTATTTCCACCATCTCGCTTTTTCTTCGTGTGTGAGTTGCGTAAAACTACACTCCGTTCACTTTCGCTAGTGTTCAATAAATTGCTTTTCCTTTATGTATTCCATTAACCATTCCATTCCATACCATTCCATTTCCATCGGAAATACTTCTGCTCGCAGCGAAGAGTGCTCTCAGAGTTTCGGGATGAAAGCTCTCGCCTCTCTTTAACTGGACACCACGTTCCAATAAAGCTTTCGTTGCTGAATTCCATAACCACTGCATGTTTTTTACGATAATTCGTCCTTTAAAGAGAAACGTCAGATAAAAAAAAATCCATGTGTCACTTTTTGGTGATGCGATTTTGGTCTCATTGAGGCAAACGAATATCCGAGAGCGTACGTGTGAGGGTTGGTCTTTACCAGACTTGCAGTCGTATTGCCGAATACATAAATGGAGCAGATGAAGGAAGACCTTGCTTAACACGTGCTTTGTTAGTTGGCGGTCCATCTAATTTGTGTGTGCGTGTCTTTCTAATGGTATTTCATTGAAAAGTTAAACTTCTATTTCGCATGCATTTGCATGAGCATCTGCCGTTTTGTACGCGCGTGTATGTGTTTTAACTTGTATCCTCCAACTCAAATAATAATAAAAAAAAAACAGTCTTAATATTAAAATGCTTTTTCACATGAAAGATTAGTAACATATTTGCGTCGTAGGCCGGCATAAAGCATGGACATTCTCTCTAACCATAGATGGCCAAGAAAACTTTGTTAATACTTCTAGGAGTGCAGAATTTTATTAACTATATTTTGAGTAAAGAACTGAAAAATATTTATCTAGTTTTACACTGAGAATTTAATTAAACATTATTGCTTTCATTAATCATTGCACTTTTTTTTAAATTAAATAATCTTGTAATTCTAACTTTGACCCAGTGAAAATACTTTGGTGTAGATAAATAACTGAAAATGTTTCTGAAATGAAATTTGGTGCTATTCTTATATATCCCCGCAGTATTGAGAGGGTTAAGATAACTTCATATATCATAATGTAAGGGGTTATAAATTGAGATATCAATGTATTTTTAGAAGGAGGTAGTAACCAATTTTATTTCGTTTTCATAAAGAAGTACAAGAATAAAAAATTAAAATTAATTAATTATAAGAGAAAACTTACATGTATATATGTATGTATGTATGTAGGTTTGTTTTATTTATTTTGATAACCAACTGACCTGTATGGAGAAGGAAGATTAGATTTCTCCTAATTTTGTGCTAATTTAAATAAATAAATAGAGAAATATGGATACATACACCCACAAATACTAAGTGGATTTAACATTATAGAATGACGATATGAGTAAATTTAGTCTTGTCTGTCTGTTGCAATCTGTTCGTTGCTGCCTTCCTCGGATGCACAGATTCAGTAAAAAATGTTGTGAAACGTATATCTTTTTCATCGAAACCAAGGCAGGTTAACCCGAGATTATGTATAAATAAAAAAAACCGTTATAGTATAGTATAAATTCACTGGAGCTAATTCCGGCCGAGCTTCTCCTCCGATAAGTACAGTTGTCCCGTTGAACTAGCGCTGAAAAATTTGTATTAGCATTGTGGTATATGTACATAATTTATTAATATTCAGAGAACTTTGCTACATCTGTGCGTTTTGATCAATGGATAATTTATTTTTATGAGGACCATTTATTATCCTACTATTTTTTAAAACATTTAAAATATTCATTTAAGATTTTATTTATCTCATCAAAGTAAAGCCAATAATCTCTAGTAATTTGAGAAACATAAAACATATTTCTTGATTATTGTGGTACTGAAATTAAATGCTTTTCCACAACGCCTAAATACAATACCATTTCGACCCGTACTCCATCTTGTATGAAAATTGTTGGGAAACCTCATTTGTTTTATGTTAAAAGCTTTAACTAAAATATATCTATTTTTTCAAATTGAAATTTCCAAACAGGTGACTGTCCCTATTTTATTTTGCCGTAAATCGCTGTGTAGTAATTTAATTGAAAGTTTTGAAGCAGAAACGATTATTTTAGACACCCATACATATAACTAATAAACTCACCCTTATTCGATGGGGATGGAAAGAGTTAACTTACCATGACATTTATATATTTATAAGTGGCGCTTTGTAACCGCTGAAGCGATTTTTCGGCCAAGCTCCTCCTACAATTTGTGGTTTTGCGTCATTGACATTCCCTGCTGAGGGGCGACCACAATTTGAAAATTTAATTTCATTTTCTATTTAACTTAATTTTCCATATCTTTTGGATGTTGGTGGCACCGGGATATGGACCCGAGCATCCGAATGTCAGTACGACATTCTAAACGATCACCTGCCACGGCCGCCATTTATATATACATACATTTATGGTTAAGGCGAGGTACAATCAGTTGTATCATTTTATAATGAAAACTCTTCAACTAAGCACAGTTGTTATTAATTAAATCCATTATGAACGATCTTTCAGGAGGCTTACCGACGTTGGGTCTGCAGTACTTTGGTACCATATTTCGCTGAGGAAAGCGATATTTCCGTATCACCGAGCTATACAACCAAAATCAACAATAATAGCAATAAACGAAATAACAGTGAAAACGATCAATTGAATAGCAACAAAAGCATAACAAAAAATGAAAATACCATACTAAAAGGCATTACCAGCAATAAAACCAGTCTCATGTTTCCAAACGTAAACAACAAGGATATATTGAACGATACTGCAAATATCACCGGAGTTTCAGAGCAACGGGCGAAACGCGAACAAAACCGAATTCTAGCGAATACATCCCCGCGTGACAATGATAGAGAAGTCGATAGAAACTTCATGCAAACTGCTTTGAAACGAAGAAGAAGGGATGTGAATGACAAATGCAATTGGCAGCAACAGCAGGAAAGGCAGCAAGGGAAACCAAATAATCCAGAACAACTACAACAATCCAATATCTTCATATCGACTGCCATTAAAGCGGATCCATGTATTGAGGATCCAGTGATATCAAAAAAAATTAAGCGGTAAGCCATTCGGCATAAACAATACATCACATTGTATGCTAACGGGTTCTCAGATCAGAATACTTATTCATTTTCAATACTGCAATATGCCCCACTCGATATAAAATAAGGTAAAACTGAATACTTTCATGTTTGTTTTTTTTTTCAGATCTAAGCGAAAGGTGCAATTTAGAAAACGAAGAAGAATACGACCCTGCCTAAGTGTCTGCCAAACTGTTGAGCAGAAGTGCCCCTATCTGCTCCCAGCTGATCGAGCTCCAGCGCTGCCAACACAATATGCCGGCGAACCAACGTTTCTTTGCTTAGGTAAGCACCGTCTGGTCAGCGTATGTTCTATGATGTATTTTCATACATATTCACATGTATCATTTCAGATCAAAGCATCCCGGAGACAGGCGAACAACTCCGCAAGTCCAGTTATGGGCCCTCCGAATGCTGCTATAGTTATTGTGATAATATCGCGGATGGAATTTGCGCCTACTGTTATGAGTTTGTTCAAGAAGCAGATAGTATATTCACGATTGGAAATTCAACGCGGCGTTTACACAATATCACTATAACAGCTACAAGTCAATATAAGCTAGATGCTCGTTTGGAAGCATCCTTGGCTAAAGACTCCACCAGTAAACTGGCAGCCAGCATATCGATTGCACTGAACAATAGCTCAGCCACCGCCGTTGGAGGTCAAATCGATCGTTTACCATACTATGCCCTCTATGATGGCATTTATTATTATGATGAAAATACCAGCGACATGCCTGATGTAGCAATGTCGGATGATTGCCCACCAGTACCATCGGTGACAAGCCGTTGCTCTATACCGTACTATGCCTCATCGGCGTTGCCTATTCGCCTCCAACAAAAAGCAGCTGTTAAGGATGTGATCGGGCATCATGTGCTACTACTGCTCAGCGCAATGCTTTGTTTACTGACTAGCCACACCGCTGCAATACAGTTAAAACATTCGGCACACCCGAATCAAAAAAATCGTAAATACTTGGTACATGGCTCAAAGCCCTCAAATATTGCTAGCATGTTAATGGTATCGAACTCCAAAGCCTCCTCTCCCATATATACGATCAATAAATGTATGTATTTGATTCAACATAGGACCGAATGTCTTCAACAGTTTGCGGGGTTGGAAGACTATGCAGTGAAACGAAAAATTATGAGAAGTGCCGATTGCAGCATTCCGACGGAAAACCCCACAGTGCCCACCATCTTCTCTACATATTTAAGTGAAGATACTTATGAAAGTGATACGAGTAGCATCCGTCATTACGTCCAGGATTGTGGTAGACACATAGTGAAATGCCTAAGCAGATATGGAAGAGTTATGTGTAGAAATCGAAGCAAAATTAAGGGAAAAAAGAAAAGTCGAAGATCGTATGGAAATCAAAATCGAAATACTCAAGAGAGTGCAAATAAAATTACAAATGGAAAAGTAAATAGGAGTAAAACCACGATCAATAAAGTATATAGTACATTTAAGAAATTTAATGAGAGTAAAATTAGTAGTACCAAGTACACTGGTAACATAAGATATAAGCACGTTCAGATGAATATAGGAAATAATATTAAAATTACATATAGATTAAATAGCAAATTGTATTTTAATAGTAATACTAAAATCTATCGTAGGAAAAAGTGTAGTAAATTTAGAAATTTTAATATTGATACCTTCACTGACTATAATAATAATCATACTAATCATATAATTGTAGCAAAAACATCAAAGCCCCATACAAGAACAAATGCAAACAGAAATATAAACAAAAATAATAATTATTATATTTACAATTCTGGTTATAATAAGGAAAACTATAATTTTGACACATTTAAGTCCAGAAACACAGAAACACATTGTCACCTTTTTTACTACTATAATTTCAATATCAATGATTGGTGGCGGAGATGGTGGAGGTTCTCTTCGTTACCGGTAGCCCAACGCCAACGTCTTTTCATATTATAGTTTGTAGTGAAGCAACGAGAACAAAACCCAGCGCTTCATTAGGCAATGCATTGCAGAGCGGAAACCCACATACATATTACATACTAATAAACTGTAATTAAAGAATAAAATATCGCCTCCCAAAAAAACTAATGTTTTATTTTACAGATTAAGACATACATACATTATCCTCCACCTTGATCATTTAAACTTCATATTAGTTTTTTAATATTAATTAATCATATATATGCTTCTGGAATGGATTTTAAATTTTTAATTTTTTGGAAATAAAGTTAACCAGCATACCTATTTGCAGTGGTTCTCGTATACCTTTAACGTAAAAAAGAAATATTTCACCTGCTAATTTTCGTGTAGTTTGGAATATTGTTTGAGAAAAAAAATTATTAATTAAATTTATATTTGAAAATTGTTTTTTTTTTTTTGTTTGTTCAACTAAATATTCACAGATCTTTTATATATTGGCATTTAAGGAAAATCAATGCAGAGTCCAGAATCCTTTCGATTTTCATTATATTTGCACATTATTTGTAATCGTAATGTTAATTGAAAATTAATGGTTTGGCCAACATTTACAATAAGAATATAACATATATATATATATACAATATGTAAGTTCGCATGCATATACAAAAATGTTCACTTCACATATACACAATGTCATCATTCCATCGTAGATTTAAATTAAAACATTCAACATTCAACACATACATACATACGTGCAATGTAAATGAAGGAACATAGTTCGACTTATCTAAAATAAAATCTTTATTAAAAAACAGAATTTTCACACGCATAAATGAGACATATTTTATTACGGTTAGAGATAAAGCGAAGAGGATATATTAATATTAATATTTAAACAAAAAACTGCCACAAGTTTAGTTTTATAGGTAAAACCCTATTATAAATACTTTATTAATATAAAATCAAACATAAAATAAACCAAAAGCAACTGAAAAAGACATTGTGAAAAACTTCTTGAATTAAATCTAATAAATAATAAAATTCTAGAATATCCCTAATGACTAAAAAAAAAGTATAAGATTAACAATATACACACACACAAACACACACACACACAAACACACACACGAACACTGGATCGTACATTTAAAAGAAAATAGAACAAGTACATACATCTGTACATATAATTTGTAAGTGCAAATGTATGTATGCAATACACACAGGAACATAGCATATTATAATAAAAAATTAATCAATGATAAATTTTAAAAGCACCGGCATTATTAAAGACAACATACATTTAACTACCTATTTTTCAATTAGAAAATAAAAAATAATTGACAATTATGTTTGCTAATTCAAACTAAAAATTTTGCATACATATATAAAAATAATTCGCGTAACAAAACATCAAAAAAAAAAAAATAATAATAATCTCATATAGTAAAAAGCAAACAATGAAGCAAATATTATACATATGTATGTATGTACGAGTATGTAATAAGATCTTCTCAAACTGGCACTAAATGACGAATAATGAATGAATTTATATTTTATGTAATGGTCGTTGAGTATGAAACATACGAGTACATGTTTAAATACGGGTTTGTATGTATGAAGTACTTGTATATACAAGAACTACGAGCTAACGATAAATTATTCGAAATAGGAAACAGACTCACTAAAAATGTGTAATAATAATAATGACAAAGAAACTATAACAAAAGGAATACAGAACATCTTCATTTAGTTTTAATCAATAAAGCGCACAGTAAAATTATAAATAAGAATTCTTGTAAATGTAAATGATAATAAGATTAATAAGATTAATTTTGTAACTAAATATCGTCAATCCAAAACCAAATATCTAGAATAATTTAATATTATACACAAATAAATACCTATTAGAGTGTCCATAAGATATACCGTAAAAGGAATGTGAACCGATGTTTTGCTTTCGCTACGGCCTATTGCTCGATAGATCAGGCGGCGAAAACAAATTCTACAAAAAATACTAATAATTATTTAACAGAAAATAATAGTCACGCTTAGTCTATTATATTTGAAGCATGAAGAGTATTAACTCTAGCTTATTTTTTTTTTTTGAACTCTTAACCAAACCAGTTTCTGTTTAAATTTAAGTAATTCATATATAAGTTATTGCTTTTGTTTACGTCTTATTTTGAATTTTAATTTCATTATGAGAAAATTACAAAGGACAAAAACTAGAATGGACTAAACTTGTTCTCCATCTGGTTTTCCGTGCGTTAATATATTATCGCTCAATTGAAATGGCGCAAATAATGATGGATTTTTGTGAAGACAAATTTCTCCCGAGACGGCAGTCATTTATTGCAGTCGCTTGTGACCGACTTAGAACGAAAAGCACGCACACAGGGAAAATTCAAATGATTTCCGACAGTCTACAAAAACCGAATGTTCTTTTTGAACAGTTTGACTTCTTTATCTTCTTTGAATTTGAAATATTTGTTTATACTATTGAAGGACTACATTTAATCCTTAAAAACAAAATACATTTTAAGGCAAGTCTTGTTTACACGTTTGTAGAACCCAAAAACTATCGAAGAGTGGAAATCAAATTACCTTTATTTATATGGGTACTCTAATGTTCATGTATATAGATTTATATGTGGAAACACACTAATATATTTATATAGCATATATAAATTAATAACAATAAAACATCATCAAAAATATTAACGTACATACGCATGTATGCTTGTAGACGAAAACGAGATTCGTATTTGAAAAGTTGTATGTATGTAACTGCATATGTAGAATACCAGTATGTAGAACGATGTTGAATTAATAAATAGTACCTACAACTCTACGTGTAATAAACTCTATGAACGATTCTTATTCGCTGCCGTTATGTGTATGTTATAGTTTTTATAAATGAAAGTGGTGTTGTAGAAAAAGTGATTTTGAAATTTTCCATTCAACTACGGACCTGCACCACTTTCAATCATAACAAGCAGAAAAATATTACTACCTGCAGATTTTTGATTTAAAAAAAAAAAAATTACCAGCGTCGGATTTGTTTATTTCTTGAATGAAATTTAAATTAACTCAATTATATTTTTTATTTAATTAATACCTCGATTTTCTTTTAATTACTCAATTAATAAGAATGTGATTAAAGCTTAATTTGATGATGATTATCTAGTAAATTATACTCTTATTTATTATTATTATTTTATTTAACCTAAATTTATGGGCAATCGCTGATCTGAGGGGAATTCCTCAATTTCAATAACTTATAGTCAAACCATTTAAACTAATCAGAATACAAAGGACCTTTATCCACGAGCACCACTTTCATCTATAACAACTTTTATGTACGTTGAATTTTCCAAAATTGTGTATATGTATGTACTCGTACGTGCAGTCTCGGAATAACTCAGCGAAATTCTTACACAAATGTAGTGTTTTGATGTACATACTTACATATATGTGTTTTTTTTTTTTAATCGACTTTATAGATAGATGAACAATTGCAGGACACACTCAAATGAAAAGAAGTTTGAAGAATTTAATTTTAATTTGAAAATGAGCTATGGTATATATTGTATATATATAATATAATTAATTATCGGATTTTGGGCAAACTTCACAAAACATAAAGGATTTATAGTTTTTTTTTATTATTATTTATTAACAATACTTAAAGTGAGGTGAAGACCCACAATTTGTTGTAAAAACATCAAGACGTACACCATAAAGTAGCGTAGCGTAGAAGCTATTACGAAAATCACTTCAGCGCAAACTATTGTATATTCATGTTGAAACTCCAGATATCCGCTATCGAGCAGTGCAAAAATTTTTAGTAACTTAATATGCCTAGCAATTTGCCTAATTAATTCAACATAAAAAATATGGGAAAAGAACGCTTTTGTTCAAAATTCCGGAAATGCTCGATCTTGTACTAGACAAAATGGTTTAAATTTGAGACCGAGTACTTCGTTTCTGATAAATTTTCAAAAGCAGATTGAAGCAGTTTTCGAAGCTCCAGGTAAAGTAGAAGAGCTGTCTGTGGCACTTTTCCCACAAGTGCCCTTCTTATACTGTGCATAGATCTATTGAAAAGCTTAAACATTCTTTTGTTTCTTAATCATACTAGCGTTAGAATGATTTCCGATATTGTTTTTATTTTATTCAGGAGTGTAGTATGTATACTAGGAAAAACTGGTAGCTGGAATTATAGTGAAGTTTGCTTTTTAATCGATATCACAATGTACGAAGCACAACAAAATATAAATCTTTAAATCTGCAGGTGGGAACATTATTAGGCAAAGCTCCTTCAAAATGAAATGAGTGCTTTCCTCGAATAATCATCTTTAGACGGGTAACAAAGCGCAACAAGCCTCGGTACCACTTAGCCAATTATGAAAGACAACACTTTCACCAAAAAAAAAATCGATTGTCAAATATTCGACAAGCTAAGCAGAAGGAGACTTTTCAGGATAAAGTGTTCCGTGCCATATTATCTTTGACAAATATAGCTGCCGTAAGAATAAATATTATTTACTATGCTATTTGGCCTTAACAACATTTAAGTGATAGGGATAGCTGAAGGCGAATTTATTTCTTTATTTCAATGTGAAAATGTGTGTTTACTTTCGTTGCCACTCTTTCAGTTCAAGAACAAGCACAAGTAATGTCTGTTATTCAAGAGACGTGCGTAATTACGTACGTACGTGTATTTGCATATTAGATACATATGTATGCGTGTATGCGGTGAAAAAACATATATATGTTATATTTGTACATAACGTATATTTGTTTAAAACAATATACCCTTTTAATTCTATTGAAAGAGAACTGCTGGCAGTTCGATTTACCTACAAAGCCACACATATAATTTTTGTGCGTGTATGGACAGTGCGCTACCTTACATAAATTTGTATTGCAAACGCATGGAAACGTAGTTATGTTTGTATGTATATTATCTATCTTATGTTATTATTAGCAATAGCGCACAAGAGCCGCAATAACTCGAAGTAAACCTAAATGAAATAAAATATACATACATATGAAGCAGTGCATGCAATTCAATAATTAGAAGAAAATACATAATTTAACTGACGAATTACTTTATGATGAACGTACATACAGACACACTCACAAGGAAATGAATATACATACATACACGTATATGTAATGCACAAAAACGCTGACGAATGTGGATGAACATGTATAATTAATTGTTGTATTTGATTAACTATTTTTGTTGGATGCCTTGATTCAATTTACATTCGCACCTACACACACTCACACAAGAATTGAGGTTAGCACCCAAATGTGCATACAATACAAGTCAATTCCTTAAGCAAGTATATACACGATGTATATATTTGCCGTAATTCTTTTCTTTTAATAGGTTAACATAAGTCTGATATTTAACTTTATTTTTACATACATATGCGCATATGTGCATATTTATGTCTATATGTAGTTAAAATCTGAAACTCATAATATTATAACCTTTAATTGCATACATATCTAAATTCTTAAGTTAGGTCAACAATTTATTCATCCTTGATTCTTCATGAGCGTGGGAACCGATTTTACTCTAAGTATTTTCAGCACTATAAGACCAAATGGTACCGATTCCGAAGATTTGCTCTTCTAGAGTGGTAGACATGTCCGCTATCACACCTTCTTCTGCATTTCTAAACTGACCGCATAGTTAAATTCTTTACATGTGATGATTTAAAGCCACGTCCAGTCATCAGCTGCCTAGAATTAAATTGCTTTCTAATGCGGTCGCCACTCGGCGGGAAATATCAAGCCGCAGAAGTACAATACATATATTTCTGGCTTGAATAAAAGCTTCTCATCATAATCCAACACTCACCAACCGTACGAGAGCGGCTTGAAATTTTAGATTCCTCTCTTTTTAGAGAAATCTTGTAGACACAACAAGTCCTTAATATAATCGTTAACGAGTAAATCTAATAATTTTTTTTTGTTTTTTTTTTTTATTCTGTCAATGAAAGTGTATAAAAGTAACAAAAGTGTATTCCGTTTTATGGTTATG